GGGATTTGTGTGGATTAACCAGCAGATTTTCCCCCGTGTGATAACGTCAATAGAATCATAGAACTGGAAGCCCCCAAGGGCCATCCAGACCAACCCCCTGCCATGCAGGAAGACCCAATCCAAGCACCCCCAACACACTGCCACCCAGCCTTTCTTTGAAAACTTCCAAAGGAGGAGGAGACTCCATCACATTCCAAGGGAGCATATTCCATTCTTGAACAGCTCTTACTGTTAGGATGTTCTTCCTAATGTTGAGGTGGAATCTCTTCTTCTTCTGTAGTTTTCATCCATTGCTCTGTCTCCTAGTCTCTGGAGCAGCAGAAAACAAGCTTTCTCCATCCTCAATATGACATCCTTTCAAGTATTTCAACATGGCTATCGTGTCACCTGAAAGCCAGTGTAGTGTAGTGGTTTGAGTGTTAGATTATGACTCTGGGAGACCAGGGGTTGAATCCCAGCTCAGCCATGGAAACCCACTGGGTGACCTTGGACAAGTCACACTCTCTCAGCCTCAGATGATGGCCATGGCAAACCACCTCTGAAGGAACTTGCCAAGAAAGCCCCATGATAGAGATATGACCCTTAGGGTCACCATAAGTTGGAAATGAAATACAAGGCACCCAACAACAACAATTATGTCACCTCTTAACCTTCTCTTCCGCAAGCTAAACATATCCAGCTCTCTCAGTGGCTTCTTTGAAATTAATAAGAGAATTCCTTCCCCAGATAATAAGAAAACAATTAGCAGACCAGTATAGCTTGGAAAAGTACCCTTTTGGACTACAACTCCTTCCAAATCCTAGCCAATACGGTCACTGGCAATGTTGGTTGGGCAATTCTGGGAACTGTAGTCCCCGTTGTTACTTTCCCCAAGTTCTAAACCAGGACAACAGAGTGATTGTGAGAAGAAGTGAGTATGAGCCTGTCCCACACTTCAAATTTACCAAATTTAGACTGAGAAATTTTTGGGAAAGCTAGATGCAACTGTGACCAAGGGAGAAGTGCTGGACTGGACCTGGGAAGAACTGCACTAGAACTCTTGCTTCAAACCATAACCTTCATTAAGCAGCCTTTAGGCAAGAGACTAACCCTGTCAACATAATCTACTTCATGGGGTTGTTATGAGGATAAAATGAGATAATCCTTTATATGCTCCCCTATACCTCCCCTTTTAAACACTAAGCTCCAGCCTGTATTATGGGGATAATAATGTTGGTCTAGATTACAGGGCTATTGCAGGGATTAATGTGATAATGGAGCTCCATGGCATAGGGCTTGCTTCTCCGGGTATAAACCCTACTGTCTACTAAGGACCTGTTTCAAATACCTCCTTTCCAGTGCTTCTGTTAAAACAAATAGGGCCTGCCCTGTTGTGGTTCTACAGTTTGGAAACAGGCTCCTAGAAAAGGCCTGTCGGTTCTAATTTTTGTGTATCTTACAAGAGAGGAGCAAGATCCATAAATTGAAAAGGACCTCTGGCAGCTGAGATGAAAGACCTCAGCTCACTTTGCTGTTTCCACAAGTATTTAATAAGAGCTTAATTTAGCTGAATTATACTGCTCCATTGCTCCTGGAGAGCCAGTGTAGCGTAAGGGTTTGAGCATTGGACTACAACTCTGGAGAACCGAGTTGAAATTATGGCTCAGTCACAGAAATCCACAGGGTAAACCTGGGCAAGTCACACTCTCTCAGCCTCAGAGGAAAATGATGTCATTTGTGGATGAGATGTTTCCAAGAATCCCTATCCTTCACTGCCTTGCCCAGATCCTGCAAGCCCTTGCCCATAACCCCCACGTTTGAGTGTATCCATCTGGTCTGCGATCTTCTTCTCTTTCTTCTACACTCTACCTTCCCTAGCATTATTGTTTTTACTTGTG